ATTATATGAGGGCCAAGTGATGCTTCGACAACCTCTGGAAGTACAGTATAATTGCCAGCAATGTAATAGATGTGTAATAGATGCGAAAGCATGTTTACGGTCATTCTAATCTTACAACTTTACAATTGCTCCTCCTCAATGCAATCGAACCGTCAATACTTGGATAACCCTTTAGGGAAAGGGAGAGATCCTGAAGCTAGCCATCACAAGCCAAATGAAGGTAAACAGCACCCATCATCGAACTTGAATTTGCTGCTTGCCTTTCGGATCTGCTTGACATGATTGAAACCCATTGATGAGACCGGCCATAGCCTCTGCTCAACTCATTGATAAATATTCCCCATGAAAGACGGGAAGCAGAACCGGTCAAAAGTAGCCAATGATCAGTCAAGATCCACAAAATCTGCACCAACTCCAGACGGCTGGTCAGAACAGGACAATAACCAAAAGCTTTTGGTGTTATGGTTTAGATAGAAAAGACAGCACATCAAAAACCAGGCAGCATTACGCATCTGGATGAAAGGGTGACAAAAAATATACCAGCAGATGGATACCTAACTACTGTTTTTCTTAGAAAAAAAAAATAACAAAAACTCCAAATCTGGCAAAGGGTCGTATGTTTGTTCCTCTCGTGTTGAAATCGGTAATGCCTGTGATCCTCTGAACTCCAAGTTGAGTAGCAATGAGGTTCTGCATTAGCAAAGAGCCAAGGAATTACTCACACAGATGAAAATACCAGAGACAAATTCTTTTAAACTATTAATCTCAATGTTATCTTTGTCTCGCACAAAAAATAATCTCAAAGTTATATTATTGAAAGATGAATGGTTAAATCTGATGTGATGGAACATCTAATTAGGTAGTAGATGAGCAAATAATCATACAACTAGTGGCTATGTTGCACCAATACGGATACGAGTATGCCGATACGATATGATACGCTGATGCAGTAATTAAAATAATATAAATATATAAACATATATATGTAAAATTATATATATATATATATATGTAAAATTAGCATTTTGGGCAAGTCAATCTTTAATCTTTTTACTGGTTCCTTATGTACTTTCCAACTTGATGGCAGATGGTACCTCCACAACGTGTAACTCAATATCCTTCCGTGTTATGGTCTGCAAAAGAGTATGCCAAGAAGATAGATATGAATTCCTCTGTCAGATTTGATGAGAATTGGTGGCTTAAAATGTCTCGCTGCCATCAAAAGTTCAAAGGAGTGATAACACCAGTTTTAGACTTTTAAAAACCCAAAAGAAACAAGACAGGAAAAAAGAATATGAAGAAGGAAGAACCAAAATTCGAAAAGAATTAGTTTCATAATTCATAACCATTCTTGAGAATTCTTGTCGGAATGGTGTTCGTCAGCTTTTAGAATGTTTGCACTCCAATGCTGAGCGGGCTCAAACTCAACTTGGTCCATAAAAAGATTTGACTTTGTATGTGCAAGATTCTAAGAATGTGATTTCCTGTGATAGAATGCAGTTATCATAGGGAAGATATGTTGTAACAGGTAAATGCTAATATCAAACTTCATACATTTTACGTAAATGAAATGAGAGGCAATCAAACAGTTATCAACAAGATTAGATCTTCCGAGTTGTTTCTTAGGCTGCGAAGAAGCAAGAATTTCTATACGAACAAAAATAAGTAATAGACGAGGAATGCTGCTGCTCAGTGTAAATGACATCCACATAACTCACACACAATACAATGTGTAAGCTTGGACTCGGTGACAGAGTCAAAATTTTAATTTCACTAGTACTAATGAAATGCGGTTATTCACAAATGTGATTCGCATTGCACTTGCAATTTTCAAGGAATGGGCATGAACAATACCTTTGTCCTGACAGAGAGTGGATTGGCGAGTGGCGAAGATGAATTTTGAATTTGAAGAACAGTGCAATGCAGACCGACCTAAGAAATTGCAAAGCCTGAACATGTAAACACAAAGAAAGTGTAAAAGATGAGTTGTGAGAACAGAGAAGGAGAGTTACGTGTGAGCTCTGAGTTCCTTGACATCATGTTCAACAATGAAGTCATAACGGCCGCCTGCGCGTATGGATTCCAGATGCGATCTCGATGTGTCCAACAGCAAAACCCTCAGCCTTTCTGTTAAGGCCAATTACTACATAACATGTTCATTAAATTAATTTTAGCTTAGACTTTATTATAATGGAATGGAATAATATATCAAACTTAGGCACAATCAGAAAAGAGATTTATGTATTAACTCACTACTACGTTTCACCATTTGCGCGACGAAAGATTGCGCGACGAAGAATAATTCGTCGCACAAAACATACTGGCGCGACTAAAGAAAATATTCTTCGCGCAATCCACTGAATATTTGCGCGACCAAATTTTTCGTCGCACGAAATGTCTTTTTGCGACCAAAAAAATCGTCGTCGTGCAAACAGAGTTAAAAAGAGCGGGGGGAATTTTTTTGGCGCGAAACATTTGCGCGACGAGAAATATCGTCGCTTAAGACAACCTTGTGCGATGGTACACTGATTCGTCGCGCAAAAACGGACAGAACCCAGTGGGTCCCTTTATTTGGTGGTAAAAACATGTGCGACGAAATTCTTCGTCGCAAAAGACAGCTTAGCGCGACGGGAAGATTTTTCGTCGCGTAAGAGAACGAGAGATATTTTATTTTTAGGGCCAAAATTACCTGGTTGGGATTTTTTTTTTGCGCAACGTACATACTATTCGTCGCGTAAAGTTCCAAGTTTGCGCGACGAATAGCTTGTTTTGCGCGACGGAATTTTGTTTTTGATCAACCATATTGCGTGACGAAATTTTGCGCGACGGAAAATACCAGCGTGGCGCAAAAGTTAGATGTCGGCAGGTGATTGCGCGACGAGAAAAAGGGTTTGCGCGACGGACGATTTGGTTTTTTGCGACGGAAGTTTGCGCGACGAACTTATGTATGCGTCGCACAAAGTCCTTCTTCTTCATATTAGAATTCTGCCATTGCAGAGGCAAAACGCAAAAACAATCTGTTGTGATGTACGAAGTTAATTGAAATTAACTTCGTGCTTTTATTTTTATGTTTAGTAACACTTAGTTTCCTGTTCGAGATTAGTTGGATTTCGTGCATGGATGCGTAATGCATGACTGTGGTCCAATTAATTATTGAATTGTTCCATTATTTGGACAGTTTGGTAATGCATAGTGTTGTCACGTAATCTATTGCTACAGGATTAGGTTTCAATTGTGGATATTTAAATGTCATCTCGGTACGTTCTTCGGGTGGTACGTAGGTATTTATACCTATGGCCACCTCAAGAACTGTAGCGAGATGCTGGCGAAATTCATCCACGTCGAAATCTAATCTCATGTAGTCGTAGGTTACGTGGCAGGAGTATGCATTCCCAAATGGGATAGGACCCTTACCGGAGGCATAAGGTGACATTATAACTTCGTATGAAGTTGTTGTGATCGTTGTGTTGTGATTCTGGTTTCAGGAATTATGGACAGAAGGTGGATACAGAACCCGAACAGATGCGCAAACGAATACTTGGATGGAATCGATGATTTTATTGAGTTTGCACGTAGACACAACCCGGGTGCAACTAGAATCCGTTGTCCTTGTAGGAGGTGCAACAACACGTTATGGGAGACAATTGAAAATGTTGGATTTCATTTAGTAAGGAATGGAATGATTGAGACATATAGCATTTGGAACCTTCACGGGGAACAATTAGAGCATGCTTCGTCTTCAAATGCCACAAGAGTGGACAATGTTCAACCTATTGTGGATGCTAATGATGAAGTCATGGATATTATACAGGATGTTTTTCCATTTGCATCGACCAACATGAATCAAGAAGAGCAAGATGATGTGCCTACACCAATAGACAGTGCGGAGTTTGAACAATATGAGAAATTGTTAAAAAATGCCAACCAAGAGTTATACCAGGGGTGCGAGAACTTTTCCGTTCTCACGGCCATTGTGGAGCTAATGCACGGAAAAATAAAGTATCGTATGTCGAACCTGTGTTTCGATTACTTTTTGGGGGTTTTCAAGAGAATGCTTCCGACGGACAATTGTTTGCCGAAAGACCATAAACAGGCGCAGAAGGTGTTGAATGGTCTTGGATTGGGTTATGAAAAAATCCATGCTTGCAAAAACAATTGCATGTTATTCTACAAAGAGCATGAATCGTTGGATACATGTCCTATATGCAATGAGTCGAGGTTCAACTATCGCTGGATGTTACTTGCTGGTCCTGTCAACTATCGCTGGATGTATCCAATAGAA